ATCCTTATTATGCACAATTTTAACAGGTGGAAAATACAGTTGCCTTTAATGCACTAAACAGCCTTTGGCAGCAGTACACATATTTCCCCATTTTCTTCAATCATGAAATATTTCTTTTTTGCAAAATTACAATTGTGCCAAATTTAATACAACATCTTTGTACACTTTTTAGCTTTATAGTACATACCTCTTCATAGTACAAACACTGCTATTATACAAAGAAGAGAGATGACGTTACTTAAAAGAAAACTCCAGCCAAGGCACACAAAATATGGTAAATATATATTGTGTGAATAACTATTTACTTTTCTTCTGAATTTCTTGTTTCTGTTTCTTGATCTGTTTCATCCCATTCTTTGCAGTTTGTTTAGGGTATATAGTGCACAACGTTTCAGTTAAAAAACTGGACTCTGGTACATCCACAGATGAGGTGGGAACGCATTTCAAACAGCAGGTACATGCACTACTATAGCTCACAAAAAATATCAAGCATATATAAATATTACAACTTCATCATTCTATGTCATGGCTGGAGTTCTCTTACAGGTCCATTTATAATAACAATAATAATAATATAAAAAAAAAGAAAACCAGTCATGACTGGGCTTATGCAAGATCTAGAATATTCAACCTTACACATTTTATCTGTGCAGGTTTCTATGTGAAAGACTTCTCTTTACCCCATTTATTTAGCTGAACTTTGACCATGAAGCTTCTATTGCAAAGGTTGGGGTGACGGATCATATGAAGTGAGGTCTAACAGATGCTGACTGACCCTGCACATTGTCTCCCTCATTTTAAAAGTCATATCAATATCAAATACCAAAGTTCTGTAGAAGTTTTGCAATGTATGGTATTGTGTTGCACTGCAATGCAGTGCCATTGCTGTAGGGCTGTGCAAACATAGCTTGCATTACCTCCAATACAGCATGAACGCCAAATCTAAGGACCGAGTAATTCGATTTTTGCATAAGACCAGTCATTGATGGCTGTTTTTATGTAAAAGCTATTTTAAACTATCCCAGACCCAATAATAGGATTCAAACAAGACTCAAATTAACAGTTGAAAACTCCAAAAATTGATGGTGACTACAAAGTAGCCTAGAATAGTTTTTGTCTAATGTGCAAAAAATAGAAACTGCCACTTGCCAGAAAGAGTGGGCATGACAGTTCTGGTTCCCTGCAGAGGACCTGGGTACTCCCAAAACCTGGTACCATTAGCTAGTGGGCCAACGGTAAGGTAGGAGGGTATGAGGCAAAGCCAGAGGTCACATAATCTGGTTGCTGGGTGCATTACAGCCTAGGCTAGGTTTTATCAGTACTTGGGTGCTCTACAGAAAAGAACTGCTATCATGCAGACAACTCAAGGTTTTTTTTGTAATGAGTGACAGTTTATATTTTTGTGGGCAGGAGCTTTGCTTTAAGAGAGATGATAAACAAGGCTGATTATGTCAAAATATAACTTAACACATTTATTTGAGATTTTGGGTTTTATTAAGGGACCCAGAATGTACTAAAATAGTTTCATAACTTGAGTAAAACAATGTACAGAATTGTCTACCTAGATATATTAGTGTTAGAAAATATATTTGTACAACCTAATGACAAATTTACAAATAATTAGTTGGTGACATTATAAATAGTTTATATCATTTGTTTCTAAGTGGCATAAGGTGGTCATACAGTAATAGATTTATTTCATCTGAGGACTATTGAAAACTCTGTTAAGAAAATGTAATGTGTATTACAGTAAGCGATCCTGGATTTGATGTTTTATATAAATCCATAAAATCAACTGGATTTACATTTTGGGCCTGTTCCACATGGCAGGACTGGAAAGAAAATATAGTTATCCATAGCAGCTAAATTTGTGATTTTTCCAATTGCCTTAAAGTTATCATATACTACTATGAACAACATGTCCACTTTTTAGTACCTTTTTTGTAAATCAGAAGAAAAAAACATATGGTGCTATAGGCACCTTGTACCTTGTATATCCTTTTTGTAGTTTGCACAGACTAGTATATGTGTATTCATTGGCCGTACGTACTCCTGATCAGTGATTATTTGTTAGTTCTTTTTCTTTAACATCATAACATACTGTACTAATGTATTTTTCTTTAGCTGATGCTGGCAGGGAAATACTAGCTTTGCTAAACAAAAATAAATAGCAATAATTCATCTGACTTTTCCACTCAATCTGTAAATGGCACCTGATGGTCCCTTTCACCAGCTTAGCAGACATAGGCAGACAGACAATGAGAATTTACTAAAACTAGAACTTGGTAACAATTCTACATGCTGAAATGCATAAACAGAGTTTGGAAAAATTCTTAACAATCCTTCCCAAGAAACTGATATTCAAGAAGGGCTTAAAACTCACAACTGGTCCCACCTCAAACTGGAACCACATTTATTTTAACTAAAGCCAAGGGGATAACTAAGACTACTTAGGTACAATTTCTTAACCAAAATCTCTCCTGTATGAAAAAATAGTATTGACAAAAATTCAGTGGATTGACTGACAGGACATGGTTTTTAATCCTATTTTCTTCCATGCAGATCAGGCATATTTTGAACCGGTGCACTTTTGCATTTATGGGTTATAGCACGTTGGTGGTTTGTACCTTTTTGGTATTCAGTCCACTTCCATATGATGGATGAGAGTGTTCCATGCAAAATATCACCAACACACCAACTGTAGAAAAACAATAAATAAGATGTTTATTCACCACCGGTGTCACTGCTGATTGAGGAAGGGGTCCCCAGTGGAACAGAAATGTTGCTATGTTTGGTGGCTAATAAACAGTTATTGCTTTTCTACAATTGGTGTGGTAGTGATATTTTGCCTCTTGGACTGTCATACTGGCAGGGCCATCCGTAATTTCACCAAATCACACTCCATGATTTAGGTCTACAGCTGTAAGGATTGTGCTGGATTACATGGATACATACATCCCTTTTACAAGACAGCATGGGCAGATAGAGGAGCTTAAATGAAGTGTCAGCATCACATAACAACCCAAATGCTCTGAAGAATTTGCATTGATATTCCAAGGTATTACTATCATTTAGCATAATCTCAGTTTCACCTATTTAAAATTAGCTGAATATAACAGTTTTTATTAAAAAAGCAGGATATTCATATCTTGATTAGCTTTGTTTTGTTTTTTATTTAATTTTGCTGGTGATGGCAAGCTGGTATGACTAGTATGAGGTGCATAGGACCTGGAGGTCTTGCAACTTGGACATTCATTATTTAGAGTAGTTGTGACATTACTGTGTTGCCCTACACTTCATTCTCATTTATGCTGTTCTATTTCCGTGAAAGGCTGTCATAGCAGAGATACACTACTCTGAGTTTCTGAAATGTCACTTTAATCAATCTATATTGAATAATCTGTTGGCTCTACAAAGACCTGTCACCTTTAACCAAAAGACCATGCCAGGATATACATATGGGATATTTGACAACCTGAATTTCCTCTGACAAAATGTAGGAAGGCCACTGTATCTCAGAGTTATCACCCCTGAAGATAAATATTGCAATATTACAGATTATATTTTATATGCTTGCATTCAATGAAGCCTACCTACTTTATGACCTCTAGTTACATGAGTTTTACCCCCATGTCTTTTTAGCTTTGACAAAATGCACTAAACAAATTTCTGTAGTATACGCAACTGGTCATTTATATAATTGTAATTAGGTATCTGTACTGGAAAATTATATCAGATTATATTATACTCTGGAATGTTACTTTATTGCATATATAAAATGTAAAAACACTTTTACAATATCCACTGCAGAACGAGTGACTGAACACAAAAAACAAGGTGCATAAAAGTCACTTGCTTTTAGCCCTTTTGTATTTCAGATGTCTTTCCGAAAACAGGACTAACACTTAAATGCCCCCTAACTTTTCATGGCATAGTTGGAGGATTACAGCTGGAGTCATATTAAGTGTTACAGACCTGACAGCATATGTACCCTTTGCTTGTGCATCCGATAACACCAGTGCTATGCCTTCCAAAACTCAGAATAACACACAGAGGTCCCCAGATTCCCTATCAAGGCATAGCTTATAGCTTATGAGGTTTATAGCTAGGGGCATATTGAATCAGCTCACTTTACAGTGACTATACCCCTTGATTGCACATCAGAAAAGACCAGGTTCATGCCTTCCAACACCCAGGAATAACACATGGAGGCCCTCAGATCTACCATTATGGCACACCTGCAGGTTTATGGCTGGTGTCATATTAAAATGTACTGACCTGACAGTGACTACTTCCCTTGCATGGTGTCAGATAACACCAGTGCAAATATGAGAGGGTCTGTACGGTATAACCCTTTGACATTACACTGTGCCATTAAACTTTGTGAAGCAGTAACTGGAGAGCAGGCACTTAAAAGAAAAAAAAGAAGATCTCTTTATATAAATACCATCTAGCTGTGTCTTTTCCAATATCTCCTGAAGCAAAGATCCACATGTGTTATAAACTCAAATCATAATGTAAACCTTTTATGAGAGAAATACGAGGGCTTCCATTACTGACCTCCATCTGAAAATGTTTGTTGCCTTCATGTTTTGCTGAACTACCTGTTCCAATATATTCTGAGTTAGTCACCTAGAACAAGTATGCAAAACAAGATAGACAAGCAAAACAGAGAAATCCTTATCAATATCATTTTCCAAGTCAAGGACAGAAAGTATTGAAGGCAGGGTCAGTATGACAGCCAAGGAAAATATTTTCAGAGAGAGGTCAGCATTAGCTTTCTTTATGTTCTCTCATGAAAGGTTTAATTCAAGCATTCTCTCTAGCATATGTGCAATACATATTCATCCAGGGCAAATGGGTTGACAGTGATGGCAAACACAAAATAAGCTACATGTAAACTATTATATACCACTTGCACCTATAACAACCTGGAGATGATTATTATAGCCACAGCTAGTTTTACACAATGTCCTCTCACTTATTACAAAACTTAGTATATGGATAGCTCAATGTTTTGTGAAGACTGTTGTAGGCAATGTACAACATCCTAGCAGTAGTTCATAATCCTGTCACTGAATCCAGGGTCTTTAGAGCTAACATGTCACCTACACACAGTCATACAATGGAGGCTGCCACAATGGTGCTTCAGCCCTTAATGATATCACTAGTTCCTAGTGAATTGATAGGCTGAAAATTAGTTCAGTTTACAAAATGGTGGCCTCCAGGGTGTGTAGATGACATGTCCACTTTAGATAAGTTGCCTCTGAAATAAATAATATTTGTGTTTACAAAAGGAAGAATAGGAAGAAGAAAGTATTAGTATGTAAGTGTTAACTGTTTCCATTCCAAGTGCCCTCTTCGTGCCACACTGTGCTGCTTTAAATTTGCCTGGTTGTCCACATCCTCCTCACCGCTGTCCTCAGATTCACCACTTGTGCTCTCTTCTTCCTCCTCTTCATCATCATCTTCATCTTCTACCTCTTCTTCTTCTTCACTTTCACCCTCGCCTGCCACATTTGTCTCATACTTCTACAGAAAGCAAACAGAAAAAAAACCATCAGATTGCTATATGCATAAACAACCATCCCTGAGAAAAGAATCACATTATCTCCATTTCATTTGCAGTTATGTAATGAGAATAAAAGAAAAGAGGTTATTAGAAAATATAAGCAGCTTAAGAATAATAGAATTTCAGGACTGATATTGTCATTGTACTTGCCAAACACACTAGCCATCTAATTCTATTGCTTTTTATTTAGCTTTTTATTTTTCAGTTATTTAGTTACTCTTTAATACAGAGTTGATATAATATGTGTAGATGTATTACTACTGCCTAAAGCAGTAGTAAACCACCAACATAAATTTACATTTTGTGCCCTCAGGAGGTGTTTCCCATAATGTGCTGGTATGTACAGCATATTAGCACATTATGGCCTACTTACCTTGTTGGCAATCCCCTCCAGCGCTGCAATGTCAGCACTCTCCTCTGCCGTTGGTCAATACATTTTCACCTGGACTTCTTTTGGGCTCAGAGTCTTTGGCTTCTTGATTGCCCAGGCCAGCATAATGTAACTACCATGCATGCAAAGGGGAGTTACTTTATCTCAGTACAGGACCTTCCCGAGCCTGTGGCCTGAGCTGAGCATGCACGCCTCAGTGTACACAAACATTGACAGGCAGGAAGGCAGGAATTATGACAGAAGAGACAGAGAGAGTTTGTGATGTCTCCAAAAAACTCTACCTGTCATTGTTTTTTTAATTTTACGTTACTTCCACTTTATAAGATCACTATCACAAACAATACTGTATACTGTTAATACCTGTATATAGACTACTATATTGTATTTTGTGTGTAACTGTGTGTGTGTGTGGTTAATACCCGTAATAATGGTACTTACATTCATATAAATATAGATATTTATTTTTTAAAATCACCAACCTTTATTTGTAATTTTCTCCATATTTACATGCAGACCATCCGGTCCAGCAAAATGGCAGTTATAAGGGCTGCGAAAAACTAGAACATTGCTTACAGTGATCACTGATTTTACTTATGGTTTAAAACTTTTTTTTCCAAAAGAAAAAAAGAAAAATAAACTGTTGCTGTAACTGCCCAGTTGGAGTTAGGCTTTAATTTGTTTGTAAATTACAGTACTGCTTAAATGAAGTCAAAATTAAAACTATCCTGCCCACAGGATGACAATGCTTCAGTGAATTCATTGCAGAACAAACTGTGTTGTCATCCTGTTAAAGGAAGTGGAAAATCAATGGTTCTGCTGGCAGGAATAACAGGTAATAAAAGTACTGTCTGTTATAGGGGTGCTGCAGTAAAAAAAATGTCTGTGAAAATGATAGACAGGCTGCCGCATATTTTTGATTTTGCTCATAGTTCTATGTTGTACTTTACCAGGTATGTTTTTAAAATTCACACCTCTGGTCTCCAGTACAGCTTTCAATCTATGTCCATAAAGCAATCATACAATATAGGTAACAGTACAGTCAAAGGACATTTAACTCATTAAAATCCCCTTAATATGGAAGAGACAGAAAACACTGAAATGTGACATTAACTTAAAAGAATTTCCACCTAGTTAACAAAACAACAACATATACCTCCATTGGGTTAACTGTGATAGTTAAAGCAGAGTCATCCCAGTCCATCTCTGTTTCCTTCGCTGTCTCTCTTTCTGGAAAGTCATGTTGGTGAACTGCCCGTAATCTGAAGATTCCCAGTACAACAATAATCACCAAAATGCTGATACAAGCCACAAGGACAATTGTTGTAGCACCTGGAGAGACTAAAAACAATTTGATATTACTATTTCTGGTACTTTTAAACAATTTACTTTAAGTAAGCAATACAGTAATATAATTCCTTGATAAATAGAAGATGAGAGGGCTTTTTCACCAAATTTTGCTATTTAATGGTTTGCCATTGATTTCACATTACAGCATACATTTGGCAACATTACACATCAAAGTAAAGCTTTATCATAAATACTAAGGCGACTGAAGATTCAGAGTAAGGGTGAGTTTATATGAGTTGTACCTAGGGTTGCCACCTGTCCAGGATTCACCCGGACAGTTCGGGTTTTGAATGCTGCGTCCGGGTTTCATGGCAGCAGAAACCCGGACACAAGATGTCAGGCAGACAGGGGCAACCAAAATTAAGATAGGGGTTACTGGCTCCCCATTGAAAATAGTCTCAACTGTGATATTTCCATATGTATGGGTGGTGCTATTTACATATGAATAAGCTACAACTCATTCTCCCAAAAAAAATGTCCACGCGTCGCTTGAGTGTTCGGGTTTCGCTTGAAGAAAAGGTGGCAACCCTAGTTGTACCACTTTTGTTAAAAGACCAAATTTCATATTTTCACTGCGTGTTGCAATGTTCTCAGAAGTGAGAGAAGTCTTTCAGGAGAATGTGTGCAAGGGAGCCAAAGTAGATTGACGATGCAGCCTGAAATCCATAAACATAAACGTAAAATGAACCTCACTCAGTTTGAAAACAAAAATCCCACCTGAATGCAGACACCTGAGATGCCCTCTATTACCTATATTAGTCAGAGTGACCTCTTCTATGCCCCTTTCTGATTTAGTTTGTTGCTTAGGCCTTTTACTTAGACTTTTCCTAACATAATGGCTAAGTACCTCCAAGTGTCAGCCACAGCCAAGTGCCCAATAAGAGTGAATTTACTGGCCACTGACAGAGTCTTGCTGAATAGTGAAATGACAGTGAACAGGGCTTAGCCAAGATTTGGAAAAAAACAGGTCCCAGTGACAAAGTGACACAGAAGAAGCTTTTTTGGTTGGTAAAGGTAACAGTTGACATCTTGTGGGGTCTACTCTTAAGCCACACGTTTACATCAAAATGTTTACATTAAGATGGAACACATGTCCACTTTAAAGGAAACAATGTCACGGTAGGCAGGCCTTTTGACTTAGGGCAAAATTACATCCTTACACAGAAAATGATTTTGCACACATTCCAAGCACACATTTTTATATTTATTTGTTTGAGCAAAAAGAGTGTTGGCAGATTTGAAGAAACTTTCCAAAGTCTATATTGATCATTATATATTTCTCCTCTTCTAGACACATAGTTACATATGGGTCTATTCACTAAGCTGCCGAGTTTATTCTGACACGGAGCGATGTAAGAAAAAAAAAATGCCGAAGGAGCGGCCGAAGCTACAGCTAGATCCTTCGGCAGCTTCGTGAATAGACCCCATAGTTAGCCAGTTGGAAAAAAGACACAAGTCCATCGAGTTCAACCTATATCTACAGGTGAAACTCGAATAATTAGAATATCGTGCAAAGTTCATTTATTTCACTAATGCAACTTAAAAGGTGAAACTAATATATGAGATAGACTCATTACATGCAAAGCAAGATAATTCAAGCCGTGATTTGTCATAATTGTGATGATTATGGCTTACAGCTCATGAAAACCCCAAGAACCCCAAATCCACAACCTCAAAAAGTAGATTATTACATGCAATCAATAAAACAAGGATTGTACATAGAACAATATCGGACCTCTGAAAAGTACAAGCATGCATATGTACTCAGTGCTTGGTTTGGGCCCCTTTTGCAGCACTTACTGCAATTACTTTTGCACAATATTCTAATTATTCGAGTTTCACCTGTATATGCTAAACAGTTTAGCAACAGTTATAACAAATTAAGAGGAGACATTTTTGGTAATACTCTATTACATGGATAGGCAAACTCCAGCTCCCCAGCTGTGTTGAAGCTACATCAAGCATCTGCCTTTGGGAGCCATGTTTGTGGCTGTCAGAGCCTTGTGCTGCCTAATGGGATTTGTAGTTGCACCACAGCTGGAGGGCCAGTGTTTGCCTACCCCTTGTATATTATTATATTACCAACACAATTTAAATCAAATACAGCCTCCTCTTTTTTCATTTCAATTGATAATAGAGGTCTGCTGGCCAAAGTAAATAGAACCTGCATTAAATTCCAACCAACAGCAGTAATTCAAGCAGCATGTGGTAAGTTTGCTAAAGGAACATTAGTGCACTGGATAGCCACAGTGGGGCTATAATATTAGTAGAATGCAGCAGTCCCCAAAACAAGCTGGTTGCATGCATGGCTTTCTCATTACAAGCTGCAGTGGGGAAGCAGTTGTGTGAGAGTGGTAGTGGGGCAGAGTGCTCCAGCACCCAGCAATGAAACAAGTATCGTAGAGTGGAGAAATCTCCTTCCCAATGCTGTCTGTATAGTGCAGGCTGTAATGTCATCAACAGAAGTGGCACAGGAAATAAAACCTCCAAGACTTACTGAACAACATTTTTCTACTGAAACAATGGCACCATTTATTCCCACTCACCATTGACAAAGGGGCACCATTCCCCCCAATCACCACTGGCACAAGGACACCATTCCTCCCATTCATCACTGACACAGGGCACCATTTCCTCCCACTGACACAGGAACATCATATCTCCCACTAACACACGAACATCATATCTCCCACTAACACACATGCATTTATTACTGACACTGATCACTAACACAGAGGCATTTGTTAGTACCACTGACAGGAGCATTTTTTTATTCTTACTGAACACCAATACAGGAGCATTTTTTAATTAACACTTACACTGGAACATTTTTTACTTTTACAGATGCAGGTGAATGCTTCACTTTTTCAGATGCAACTGTGCTTTTATAGACGCTAGGGCATTTTTTACTTCCAATGATACAGGGGCATTTTTTTTATTCCCACTGACCCCTGACATTGGGGCAAGTTTTTCTAACACTGACACGGGTGCATTTTTTGCTACCACTGACTACCGATGCATTTTCTTTTCTTACACCGATTACTGGCACCAGAACATTGGTACTCCTACTGACCTCCAATGCCTAGCCATTTTTTTTACTCCTACTGGCCACAAAAAGGCTTCCAAACAGTATGATGGACAGTAAACTGGCCCTATTAAAAAAGTTTGGGGACCCCTGGTATAATGCCTCTGGCTTCCTGAGCACACAGTTAAAACAATACCTTAGGTTGAGGTCTAACTAAGGGTACTGTATATGCTTTAAATAACAAATTATACGTCAGATAGAACACAGTAAGATAAATGCAAGATTATTTGCATTTTATATAAAAAAAGATTCCTTTTGCTCCATGAATAAGTATAATGCCAGTCCATTAAAGCAGATAATCTTCTGCCATCTGCCACCTTCTGGGTGGTACATGCCATGCTTTGTGTACTAAGTAACAGGGATAAGCCTTGCTTTAGCTACATGCAGGCCTGATAATAGTCTCAGAACTTCTTCTTTCCATCTGTATTTAATAACCAGCTGTTTTTAGCATTTAGAATTCCCATTGCACATGTATTCGAATGATACAGTACAGCTTATCAAATGTTGTTATAATAAACAGTGTTGATGCCACATCATTGTGCAATTATACTCTGCATTAGATCTAATTGGACTCTGCAATCACAAGAATTCAGAATCAGATATGGGATTTTCATACCTCGGCTTTCGTGCCCCAACACTTCAGTGTTTGGATTCTGAAGAGATGGCATGAACTGCGGCTGAATCACCATGTGGTTTACATGCTCCATATAATTGGAATTGTGCAAAATGTTAACCTACAGAGAAAAAAATCAATATTATTAACTGTATTATCATGTACACCACGTTAGCAGATGTGCATGAGTATGACCCCTTAATCGTGTACGCTTTGTTATTGTGACTCGCTGTATTTCTGTCACATATATGTTGGCAAAGTTTGGACATTTGCTCTGACACTGAGGACAGAGACAAACACCTGAGCACACTGGCTGATGCATTTCGGCGAAAGGGCTATAGGGAAAAGACTATTTCTAAAAAGATTAAATCTGCCGTTCTTTTTTGACATCTTGTCTACTGGACTAATACGGCTTACCCATTTATATTGCACTATATATATATACATATATATGTTTTCTGGGTAGTTACAACGTTAATATGTTCCTTTTCTTGGCTGAACAATGCCTGTTCAAATGAAAGAACAGTTTGTTTCTTAGCCAACGGCATCTCTACCAAATCATTTTAATTTCACATTGAAGAAATATTCTAGCGTATTGAAAGATTTTTGCAACTGATTTTTCTGACTCCCAGGTGCCGGCACAAATAGCGATCAATGTATGTGCTAATTTTAGATGTTCTCTACTGATAATCAATGTATAGATTCTGCCTTGTTGTCCTGCCTAATGGTTTAAAGTAGTATTAAAGGATCATCCTTTTTTTTTCAATATTGAATCCAGATCAAGTATTCATTACCCAGCAAAGTATATCTTTATGTTTTTGCCCAAGCACTTACTGCTCATCATATTTGTAAACAGCTAGCCCCAACTCTCTCAGCTCTGCTTCCCTGAATGATCACAAGGGAGAGCACAGTCTCCAGCAGCTGTCCATATACAGCTGCTGGAGACTTGGCTATGACTTTGCCTCAGGAGATGGCATGTCACCTGGCCTTATCTGTCAGCTGTCACCAGCAAGGTAGTCCTAAGGGCTGCAACCTACAAGTTATCCAGTAGAGATGCCTATATGCTCCATTAGGGGCTCTAGTAAATGTCTGGCACTTCTAGAGTCTGCACCTCAGTGAAGACCTTTCATCACCTGCTGGTAACTCCAAGGATTCAACTAGCAAAATACAGAGAGGCTAGCAGAAAGGTATCTTACATAAGTTGTGTAAGAAAGGTACAACTTTGGATAAATTATGACACTGACTGCAGAGGAGAATCATTTCTCCTAATAATAGCATGTATTAGGAAAAACATATAAAATTAACACATTATAAATAAAGAAACCAGGGATAAAAACCATTACAATTATAAACTATTGCCACCCCAGTAAGGGTAAAATAATATTCCTCAATAAGGTTCCAGATCCAGTTATGTGTGTCAGAAGATGAAATCATCAGTTGTATTAAACTGCATGCTCTTTTTTCACAAGCTGAATATCTTATCTAGCTAAACTACAGATAGATTCCATAATGAATGACCATGAGATATGTGTCAGCTAGAAAATAAAATATTCCTCAATAAGGTGCCAGACCCAATTCTGTGTGTCAGACGATGAAATCATCAGTTGTATTAAACTGCATACTCTTTTTCACAAGCTAAATATCTTATCTAGCTAAACTGCACATAGATTCCATAATGAATGACCACTAGATATGTGACAGCTAGAAAATAAAATGGTTACAGGACAGAGCCCCTATTACACCCAGGAAAGACTAACTACCTACAATAGATACTGTAGAAAGTGTAGAGGGATCCCCCCAAAAGATCTGTAGATCTGCAGAGTGTACACAATACAAAACCAGCAGTATGCGAATAATGTATCTATAGATATATATCCCTGCTAATACTGCAGCAAGTATAAACATCAATGTATCTAAGAAATAGGGGAATATTAAAATTAATTTAGAAAATGTGATGGAAAAAAGAATATTCTTAGCTGAGGTCAGGTTGGGATTCAATAGTCAGAAGACAGAAAGTGGCTCTATAAAATGGCATTATACATTGCATTGTAACAAGCCAAAAGAAAACTGTCCCCTCCTTTATCCATGTGTAAGGTGCATTCCATATCTATACCTCCAGTTTTGCCTGCATTGTGCATTCCATTGTAGAACGCAAGGATAGGGGGTCATAATAGTTTTGTTTTTAATCCCTGTTTTTGTGTATAATTACTAATGTGTTAAATAAAAGTTACATTTTAAATATTTTCCCTGATACACGGGATTTACAGCATCTTCAACAGTGCATGATCATAGACAAATCAGGTAAAAATCTTAGCCATGTTTTGCCGATATAAGTTGATTTTTATTAATTCATGCAGTTATATTGTTGCTTACTATGTTTTCATATATTATAGCTGTTTCGTACCTCAAGATTAAATTCATTACTCGTATAGCGTCCATTTAATTCAGAGCACTTGACTTTGAACTTCCGGCCAAAGATAGCAGCAGAATCCCAGTGACGATAGCGTATTTGTTGAAGGACTTCTTCGTAATTTTTCATTGAGTCTATACCTGAAAAAAAGGAGAATTGTAATTAATGAATAAACAAACAGCTTTCTAAAAAAAAAACTATTTTAAAAATGATTTTCGACATTTAGGAAGCTGTGGCAGATTATTTGTCAATAACAGTGTTGACATGTCCCGAAATGGGTGATCAGTTCCTATGAACGATGGGTGCGTGGTCATTTGGTCGCGGTTTGGTAGAAATGTAATGAAACTAACATGAATTTGTTTAATTTAAGTCATATGTATTTCTATATAATGGAGCTTTAAATTGTATTGATCATGAATGAAATAAGCTTAAGGGAACCACTTAGGAACCTTACCATGACTGCCAACACCAGGAAGCAAATAAGAAATGTTTGCTTTGCAGTTGTCTGTAACACATACAACCTGTCAATAATATATCTGTTTCCTAGCAGTCTTCCCATACCATAGATTGAATAGCCCTTGGTCGAATTGGTAGCATCAAGATGTTTCCCTTGCAGAGCATTGCGATCCAGCTCCAGACATTCTTGTTTGGTGTTCAGCTCATCTCCCATAATGAAGACGTCACAGAAATCCAAATGATGTAGAGTTTCCTCCACTACCACTGCACCAGCAGCTGGGGACAAGGACACATACAAGTACAATCAGCACACATTTTCAATACTTACATTGCAAAATATGCAATACAATATGAAGCTGAAATGAATCTATATAGAGCTATGACTGACAAAATGTTTAATAATTGTTCACAATTTAAAAGACTGATATCCGTGCTTAAACTCCCAGTTCAGCACACTTGCAGTATCCATCATGATGGCTTCCCATTCTTCTGTTGCATTTTTAATTGATTCATGCTCTTGAGAATGCAACAGGAGTTGCTAAAACATGAAAAGGTAGAAATAAAAACCCAAACCCCTCCCAATACAGCTCAACATAGACTCCATCTATAACTCAGATATTACTTTTTGGTGGACTGACCCTTTAAGGTATGTGTACTTTGCATGCATAATTAATACTAATACAAATAATAATAATAATAGATTAGCCACTCACTTAGTCCCTGCCCACCCCCCTTTCCCATCTACCATTTGTCCAGTATAGACTAAGGTTCCAGAAAACCTGTACCTGTGACACACTGCTCGCAGACTATCTGTAGACCATAAGTGCCATTCTTAAAGCTGTGCTTTACGCATACTGGGAAAAGTAACAGATTTACTGGATAACAGGTATAATAAGTAGCCTGCACTTACCTTTCCAGCACTCCAATTTAATCACATTTGTAAACTAGGGCCCTCAAAACATGCTACAAAAAAGTTCCCCTGCTCTCTGTGTGGAAGCAGTGATCTTTCGGCAGAGGTCCAATACACCCCCTGGCTAAATATGAGCTCTCCAATCAGCAGGAAGTATGAGCTCTGCTGATTGCAGCTCTGCAGCTTCTGGAAGGGACAGTCTTATCTACTCAGGCCATGGCTGTTTTAGAAAGAAAATGAAACGTAAGACATTAAATACCTTCTGTTTTGATGCACCTGCAATGTATTTCGCTTATTTGAACTGAGCGTTCAGTTGAGCATTAAGGTCCACTGAGACACTTCTCACAGAGGTATTTTGTTAGGCTATGATGTTTAATTTGTTATTTTAATTATTATTATTAGGGATGCACTGATACTAGTATTGGTATTGGTGCCGATACCGAGTATTTGGGCGAGTACTCATCCAAATGCTTCAATACTTACCCTGATACCGGAACTTCCGGGTCAGAGGTAGATTTCCTCTGACCAGCAGTGCCGTGAGGGAACATGTAGCCAACTTCCCGGCCAATCAGGATGACCCGCCTTCCAACTTCCCGATTGGTCGGGAGGCTGGCCAGCTTTACAGCCAATCAGCATCGAGCCAGCCAAACTGCATGCAGCTGGTGTTCTGTCCAAAATGACCAACTCGTCGAGATCTCCAACTCGTGCCACCACATACATAGAAGATTTTGACAAGATGATGCTAGTGCGCATGCTCCAGCCCTGGCATTTTTTTTTACAATCCTCATCGACTTCTTCAATTTCTGTAAGTGCGCCTGTGCGGTTTCGCGATCCTCATCAAGTTCTCCAACTCCCATCAGTGCTTGTGCCATTGGGTGCCCGTGCAGGCACACTAATTTAAATTAGAGAAGTTTGTACTGCTCTTGGTTGCCCGTGCAGGTGCACAGACGGGAGTTGGAGATCTCGACACGTTGGACATGTTGATAGAACACCGGTTTCCCAGGCAATCAAGAAGCCCGGCAGTGGGTAATGACACACCACCCAGCTTCCCAATTGGCCGGGAAGCAGATGCCATGCTAGTGAAGGTACCGGTATCGGCAAGTATCGATATATAAATATTATACTTTATTTGGAAAAAACAGTATCGGTGCATCCCTAGTTAATATTATTATTATTATTATATGATTATACTAGTATATACAAGCCAACCTCCAGACAAAACTTTTGTTTTAGTGTTGAAGAGTGGGGAATAACTAAAACATCTATCTGTGCTGTGTGCTTGTTAGGGGGACTCCCCTTCACTTATTCTGTCTAATATCAGAGATCTAGATGGGAAGTGAGGGAAATTGTCCTAAATAGGATATAGATTTATTTATACTTCAAAATGTGCTGATGCTGCTGAATCTTGACACAGATCAGTGTCATATGAATAACACAATACATCATCATATCAAAAGAAGTAAACAGTGATTTCCGGTTTGGAAGCAGTAGTCTGATGTACTGTCAGTAAATTATATATAGTATGTACTGTGTGAATGCAATTGTACAGTGTCATGTGAGGCATGTTTTCACATATATCCCTATCATTTGCTAATAGACTGAGGCAATATTGTAAATGTAAATGAATGGTAATTTATTCACGGCATGCATGAATGATATTAATTCGATATCGGTTAGCAGTGAGGCAAATATAGAGCTGTAACTAACTGTGAATAATCACAGTTTAAAGCTGAACTCCAAGCAGACATAAAACGTTTTTCTTTTACACATCTAACATACTGTATGTATATAAATGTGTGTTGATGTTGGCCACATGTAACGCCTTCTATAAATGTGCTCAGGCTGGGTGGGACAACACCAATCAGGGCTGCTTTGCACAGTGCTGTTAGCCCCCATTCACACCATAGCGTTGCGGATGTTCATGGTGACACGTGTTCGCAGGCTTTTTTCTCCGGCGTTTGACACACATCCTTGTTGATTTCAATGGGGTTCCTAGATGCACATTTGAATGTGTACATCTGTGCGGGAAAATGGCATGTTTTCCCAGCCATGTTTGGGGTCCTATTAACTAGTAATGTAACCACAAGCACATTTGATGTTTTTTATGTGTTCTGTGAACACACGTCAAAGCACGCTTTTTTCCCATGTTTACTGCACGGAACGCCTAGGTGTGAATGGGGCAATTTATGCGCGTAGGCTCACCTACACATGTTTGCATATGTATGTGCGTGCATTTGTATTATTTTTTATATGTTACTTTAATTTTTTATTTTTAAAACACTTTTTTTGAGAGATCAGTGGCTGTAAGCCTGCTGATCTCTCTCTGATCATTACGTGGAGACCTGCTGTCCTGGTCCCGGGCCCGACCGGGAACAGCAGGTCTGGGGAAGCCGGTGGTGGTGGAGGAGGGTGGGGGCAGCATAATCTGCCTATGGGTACAAACTAGATTCCGGATCACTTGTACATGAACAGCCATCGCTGGCTTTTTAAAATAACACCAATAACACAGCTGCTACAGCAGCTATGTTCTTGGTATAACCACTTCTGTGGTCTGCCGTAAATGTACGGTTACCCGTAGCAAGTGGTTAAGGAAAGCTGCAATCTCTTTTAAAACGATTGAAATTAGATGAACATATTAAAGCTTACAGCTCTATCACTGCTTACCATGATATTAGGGGTAAAGTCACAAGTCAGTGGGTATGGATGTGTGCCTGACTGTTGGTTATAAGTAATAAGAAAAATCTAACAGCTCAGGGATAATTAAAAGAGAACTATGTTCAAACCTTTTTTGGGATTAGTTCTCTTTTGGATCACAGGAAGACATTTACTAATGTCCTCTTGTGACCCAAAGTCAGCATATAGCAGGCTTCTGCCCGCTATATGCTGACAGTGCAGATCCACGCTGCGGCCGGGAAAGATCCTGACAGTATTGTTGGGATCCACCCCACTACCTAATTGACAGCTGGCTCTATCTCTCTAGTGCCAGAGCCAGCTGTGCCTGCCCCTCCCCTGTCTGTCCTTTCAATCAGTGCTGGAGGAACAGGGATGGGGATCCCTGCAGGGAGTGGTGAATGACATTCAGTCAGTCAGTCATGAGCTGAGCGATCAACGATTTGTGATTGCTCAGTTTTCGATCTATAAAGTCGTTGTGTGTGACAGCTGCACTCATGCACACACGTTGACTCTAACTATGGGGATGAGTTTTTGTAGCATGACATAACTACTACATAAGAAGCAGTTTTTACAAACTTACTGGCAACTTTCAGGATTGGCTTCCAGAATAGCAGACCATAGAAAAAATCCAGTTCATCATGCAATGCAGAGTCTAGCAGGATCAATGTCTAATTAATACTATGGTACACTATTAGCTTGTATCAGACTTGCACCATCTGCATTAATTGGAAAAAGTTGAGCGAGTTATGCAGAAACTACTTACATTTGCCAGAGTTCTTATCCAAATATTTTTCCATTTTACTGACTGTGCTGATGATTCTTATATCTGGAAGCAAAATCACACCATTTGCATTCTCAAATTCTGAGGCTGGCCGAGCAAAGTGATCCATTCCAGTGACTGTGATCTTGGGTTCATTGGCCTGGAGAACCACAACATATGCTTCCATGTCTGGAATGGTGATACAGATATCTTCTCCAAAGCATCTGGAATACATAATCATAATTTTTCCTGGCGGAACTCATAAATAAATAAACAGCTAAGCACTATTTAAATATTAGAAAAAATTACTTTTCTGGCTGCCTTTATGTTTATTTTTGTAGGGTTTGTAACATGTCTGTTACAGATTAGATAGTAGTTCCAAAGGTATGCCAGTAAACTAAAGTAGACAGCAGTTGAATATCCACCCACTGAGGGGTCCTTTTCTTCTCACAAGATTAATAGACAGGCATGCATTTATCCAGCAAGAATAGCCTCCCATGACACAATTCTTATCCCAGACAAAAAATAAAGACTAGGTAATATACTCCACCCTCCAAACATCAGACTGTAAAGGGTGTATGAGGACTACAGGAGCCCATGACCATTTCACTCTTATTTGATTTTACTGACTCCACAGGAACTTAGATGCTGCAGTATGGAATATCTATAAACCTTAAAGTAGGAACATCACCCTCTTAATGTTTTCCCCCCACATACCTTCTCCTTGATGTTATGCACAGTGCACATTTTTACCTGCCCAGTGATTCTAAAATTGTCTTCCTATCATCTACCTTACCAATGCTGCACGCCAGGTCCTGCACCACCATCTCCATGTCTCACATCATCAGGAGGTGGCTGTCTCATCCTGGTTCATGCAACTGATCCTTGATAGTAACCCACTATCTCTGCCCCCAACCTTCAGCCACTGTATGGCACCTAAGGCATGCTGAGATATGTGACATGCATAACCCAGGAGACTTCAGAGTCGAGTAGAGGTCATCCTCATCTAGGCAAATAGGATAGCAGGGACCAACAAAACCCCCAAACATTGAAAATGTTTTTTTCTTGCAGTTAAAGATTGCTGAGCAGGGGAGGAGTGCAATGATGCCAAGTGCATCTATGGAATGAAGGTCCACTTCAATGTGTCTTTAACCAAAAACTTAGTTTTTTATAGTTTTGGTTAGAATAGCAAAAGGTTAGAACTTCTATCAAGATTTTATTGTTGTCTATGTCCCTACTGGGTAGATTCACCCTCTTTATTTGTCATTATGACCATCATCATTACAATGAGAAAGCGAAGGGAAATGTCACAGTTGTCACTAGAACATGTGGTGAGGGTAAATCTCACAATGAGAACACTTTTTCCAGTGACCAGTGTCGACGAGGGGATTTACCCTCACTACGTGGTGCATCTCCACTGTATGCAATGGGAGGATGACCAAAAAAATAAACTGGCTGGGATTTGAACCTTTCCCTTTCTAAAACTAAAAAAAAAGGTTATGACTATACACAGACTTAAAGAATAGCCATCATATTTCACTGTGTACATGGAAACAAACATAGAACAAACACTTCCTGTATGTATGAACTAAACCTACAAAAATTAAAATCTTCTCAATGAGTTAATATTGCAATGCAAAGAGCAATAGGGGGTTATAGTTAGATATATATAAATAAATCCACACAACTTGGCAACTTAGTGGTAAATGTTTATAGGCTCTGGCCACACAGGTATAATAAAACCTGAAATAACTGAATATGAATTAATTGTGTGAATCACTCAAGTCACAGCAAAAGCATTTGTAGAGCTAGATGAACATCTTCACATACAGGAATCCAATATTCAATTAGATATTAATTAGCAGTAATGATTTATCCTTCCCATACCCCAGTTTATTAAAATAAATGATGTTTAAAACTCCTCGACAAAGCTTTGTATTCATCCAATATGTGGACTCTATTTAAAGACAAGAAACTGTACATATTATTCATTTTCAGAAATGATAACTAAGGCATACATATCACATCTAAAATCTGGGAGAACACATCAATTAAATGATTTTCTTGTCTTCATAACTAGTGGCTTTCTATTTCCATAGCGGAATTATACACGCTTAGGTTAAATATATGTTAGCACAAAAGCCCACAACCTTTGTCAGTATGAGTCACATACATATGTGACAAGAGGCAGTGAGACACATTAATTAAGAAAAATAAAATGGGTAACCTTTATTATTAATGGTAAATGTTTTAATCAAATTATATTGATTAGGAAACATTTGCTTGACTTCCAATTATGGGAAGGCTATAACCAGGAAAACAGAGAGCGCATGTAAAACATTATCTGCAATAACTGAGGCTGCATGAGACTTATAAAGGAAACCACTGGATTACTATATATTTTTTGTTATAATAAACTAGTTAGTGAAATTATATTTTTTAGAATGAATACAAATTATAGCATATGGAAGGCAAATTTCACGTATTTTGGGTTACATATATTTTTTTATGCTTTCTTTGCAAACTTTCAAATTTAAAGTGTATGTAAACCTTAACAATACACTTATCTTATATAACTGCTTTTGGTTTGTTAAATATACCATTAACTCTTTCCCTGCCAACGACGTAAGGCATACAGCAGAACAAAAATGTTTTCAGCTAGGTCAGTATGCCTTACGTTGCTGGCTTTCACCTTTCTGCTATAAGGTCGTGGTCACTTCAGCTAAGTAGAATGCAGTGCCTGGCAGAGAATGGGTTAAAAGCATTTTGTTATCTGTTTGATAAGAGCCAAAAATATCTGCTGATCATGCCAAAAATCCAGTAATTTCCTGTGCTTTCTGATTTCACTGCAATGAAATCTCAAACGATGTTATCAGCCCTGCTGGTACATATCTGTGAACTACAGAACACGTTCCTCTATGCTATAGAAAGGAAACAAGGGGATTTGTTTTGTCGTCCTCGGTCACTTTCTGTTCTAAGGTCAGTAAAGTGAGCAAATGTTGTCGCCCTCGGAAAGGAAGTGTGTTTCTGGCAAGATCACCAGGTGAAAAAAAAGAAAAACATTCCAGGAATAAGCTAATGCAGTAATCATGTTTAAGGACTAGTAAGCTCCAATATTTAAATTTTTTTTCTAAACCTATTTTGATGTCTGTCCACTCTGTATTTGTCAGTCTCTGTGTTAGGTTTGTGATGCGAGCCCGAGATGACGAGGAGGACCTCCCTTGCAACCCCGTCTGATGACCACTGGGGTTGAGAACAGTAGAGTTCAGGCAGGGGATGCACGAGTGCGGAACTGAAGGTCACGAGGTCTACTTGGTGACCTAGCAGAATAGCCGCCGTGCTGAAGGGTATAGGCAGAAGGGAGCGTAAGAGACTAGCTGGGTCAGTAGCGTGCGGGCAATACGGTACAAGGGGTTAAACCTGAGAGAAATCCAGAGACAAGCCGGGTTGGTAACAAGGAAGCCAAGGGAACAAGAACCACAATGGGCAAGGAACAGGAGCAAGGCAGGGCCAATGACCAGGGAGCAAGAACAAGCACAGCACGAACATCCAGTGCTGGCTGAAGATCACCCAGCACTGAATGAGCGCCCTGCAGCGCCTTATATAGGCCGAGGATGAGCTACTGCGGATGCGCCGGCCTGATTACGTGACCGGGCCGCACCGATGTGATGACGTAATGCCGCGCGGCGACGCAACCCGCCGGGCCTTCTGCCGTCTGCGCCTGCGCGGCCGGGCCATGCTGCTGGATAACCTCTCCGTCTATGTCCCCGCAGAGGGACACAGCATCTCCCGCGAACAGGTACCTGACACTCTGGCTTGGTTGGTTTAGAGCTGATTGCTACCAGGGTTAATCTTTAGCTGAATCATATAGCTAACGGGCATTTAATTAATATTTCAGCAGAAAGCTTACTACACGTTAATTAGATGGCTCTCCATTTAATTGTTATCACCACCAACATATGGTTCTCTGCAGTAATATATATCTGCAATAACCAGTTTACAGTGATAGAGATATCTTGTTATAGTCAATCAAGTACACTTAGCACATGAGATGCATATGAGAGCCTTTGGAGCCTTGCTTATATTTAAACAGTATGAACACGAGAGCATGGCACCTCAAAAGAAAGTGCATGTACTAGCAATGTTTAAAACAATACAACATTAATAATGTTATAATTGTGTCCAGGGGCGTCCCGAGGATGGGTGACACCCGGAGCGGTAACCGATTGTCACCCCGCCGAGACGTCACTGCGCATGCGTGCGCGATGACGTCATCGCGCACGTGCGGCAGTATTCTGATATTTAAGGTATGCCTCTGGGTCCCCTCCTCTCTCCTGATACTGTCGGGCGTTCAGTCCATGACCGAGCGCCCGACTTTTCAGAGGGGGGTGACACCAAAATGACTGTGAGTCATTTTGGTGTCACCCCTCCAATGGTGTCATCCGGGTGCGGGCCGCACCCCCCTTGTGACGCCACTGATTGTGTCCTATTTGTAATGTACAGTAGATATATATGAAAACTGACATAATGGGGGTGATTTACTAACCTAAACACACACACGCACCTAGGTGCGTGTGATTTTTACACAGCAAAACGTATTTATCAACCAAAAAGTCTCTAAAAGCATATTTCCACTAATGCCATATATGGAAAAATCATGCACATGATGCATATATAATGCTGCTTCACAGTTTAGACAAAAATGGTTAGCTCATGCATTTACATTCCTGCATTCATCAACACAAGCAACACAACATAGAGCTAATTTACACAACATCACCTTGCAAATTCATGCTTGGCTTTGCACAACACACCTGCTGGGTGTGTACACACTACAAAGGTGTTTAGATTCCACCCATAGATCATGCTGGGAGGGAACACACTGCAGAGGTGTATACATGTTCGTGGTGTGTTTATAAGGTTAATACATCAACCCCATTGAATTTGGGTTTACATTTAATAAAAAAAATTCTCAACAGTGTGTGTGTTTATTTACTTTGGTTTTTCCTTTATAAATGAGTAACAAGTAACAAGGGGTACTGGTAATTTGTACCCCCTACTCATTCACATGGGGTGGCTAATTTCTGGGGGTACCATTATTCAAAAGTGGCTTGCAGATTCCCTTAAGGCCCCCCCCCATGCCAGGGATGTGGGCATGAGACCCTTGTCCCCATCAACATTATTATTTTATTTTTGCATTGGTACATGTCCCCCATGGCAGTACCCAGCTATGGTTTTTATTTTAAATGCTTTCAAATTGGTCTTGAAAAATACAAGATTTGGTACCTAAAGGCTTTAATATAATTCAGGCGCTATGTACGGGGCTCATGGATTTTTCCAGGTGGACAGCAAACTTCCAGTGAACCAAACCTTGCTTGGTTCACTTAGCACTACTCCTTAGTTTTAAAGACAAGCTTCATCATTTTTGTCAACACAATACTAAACCCAGATTTTCTAAGTCACAACATGTGCAAAGAAAGTATTATTCCAATTTCTATAGGAATATGGAAACAATTCTCAACCCTTTGCAGAAATTTGCTATCATTATGGAAGCTGAATAGCATAAGTTGCAATGTAAAAGATTCTAAGAAAAATGTGATTATCCACCACAAGAAAATTGTCCCATTCTACCATTGACACTGCATTAATCTAGGCAGATCACTCATCCCTAATTAGCACTCTACCACCTTCATTGCTGAGAAAGTAATGTCTGATCTGTTGGTCATAGTGAACTAAAAGTAAAGGTCTTTGAAGATACTTTACCAGACTATCACAAAGCAGAACACCTGTGGGGGAAACCTGTTCCTCCCTGATTCCAAAGTCACATACTAGTTCCTGAACAGTTATAATGAACTCCTTTAGCCTCTCTGCAAGTAATGTGCCTGTCCGGAACTGGTATGCAGTTCAGTAAAAGATTGGCTGCCTTTATCAGATGCTCTTCATATATGGTTTGTTTCATGACTGATTCCATTAAAGGAGAACTATGGGGTTATGGCTTTTCCCCATAGTTCTCCTTCGGGTAACTGGAGGACACAAACTAGCGTCCCGTCATCCTAAGCTCAGTATACCGCGAGCTACAGCTCGCGGTATACTGAGACGCCGCAGCTGAAGCGGATTCCGACAATTATGCCTGGATCCACCCAGCTGCGGGAGTAACGGCTGGAGAGGCAGAGCCAGCTGTACCCGCCCCGTCCGTTCCGCCAGTCAAGTCAACGCTGGAGGATCGGAGCGGGGAGGGGGAACCCAGCCACTCCCCTGTCACGGCAGAGAGCTGTGACAGGATCGAGAAGTGATCGAACGCCAGTATGTGTTCGCTCACTTCCCGATCTACTGAGCCGACCTGTGACAGTCTCATTGTCACAGGTCGGCTAGAACTATGAGGTGAGTGAAAAGCACTCACCTCATAGTTCACCTTTAACTCCAAAACCTGTAGACTGACAGCAGAGGTTTGCTATGGCAAGTGTTCCAGACCTCTAGAAGCTGGTGGAAGGATAACGGTTCTCATGGTAAACCACAAGTTTAGCAAACCTAAGGCCATTACTTTATAGTATCAAATACCAGAGACTGTCTACACACACATAATCATTCTCAAAGGTGTTTTTGTGTTTTATATTGACACTTACTGGACTTTGGAAGACACCCTCAGTCGTCTTTTGCCAGTGTTTGGAAACTGCCGTGAGTTGATATATGAAACTTTCCTTAGAGCTTGGTTAATGCTGTCAATATCCTCACCTTCCATTATCAGTACAGACTGTAAAGGGTTGAAATGGTACTAAGAGAAGACAAGGAATACAGTCTTAAACCAAATGAACAGATATAATTTGGAAAATTAATTAAAAAATATTTATTTACTTATTTATTTCTTTATACTTTTTGTTTATATTGTAGTTTCACTTTTGTCAATATATTTAAAAGCTTTAGAATCATACCCCCAATACTTACGTAAAAATGTATATATATTCTACTTTGTCTGCATGGCTACACAATTTAAATAAGCTCAGCCTGGAAAATCCATTGAATTTTAACATTCTGAAGAAAAAACGTGATAACATAGATTCTGGTAAAAGTTGACTGCACACGTTTGGGCATACAGACAGAGCCAAATAACCTTGAGCTGGCAGGACCTGCTAATTTTATTACCGTCCCCTCTATATTTCCCTGTGGTCTTCTTTGTTTTTCTTCTTTATACTACCTCTGGTTAACTAAGGTCAGCCATGCAGATGCAAAAACAATAGAAGACTAGCTACTTTTATCCTCTCAAAGAGCAGAACTGCGCTACATACAAGTGCAGACAAGGGGCAAGAAAATAAACATCTAGTGTAGGTGGTTCATTAGCTCTATTAACCTAAAATAATTCACCTTAAATGGTTTGTACACCTATTTATTATTATCAGTATTAATTTGAATACATTGAAATTTCACTTGGTGAGTTGACACTCTCATTAGTTTTTTTTATATGGAGCTGTCTATAATTTTTGCAGCAAATGAGCAGACCAGAGAACTCACCTAGAAGACATAGGCTGCTAGATGATAAAAGTATTTAGGCTCTACAAAAACCCGGAAATATCACTATTAAACCAGGCCTTGAAACACTAGGGATAAGTCTAAAATAATTGTTTATTTTGGGCTAGGGTCTAAGTGTGAGCAACATTTGGATATGCCACGCACCATCTCAGTGCTAGCCCCTTTCCCAGCTCTCCCCACACTATGTGGAAAAACAAGATATACTAGTCTTTGCTTGATTTACTTTTGCAAGTCTTTATAGAATCCAACTGAGACACATACAAAGAAAAGTAGTGAAGAAATGAACTCTGACTTGACATTCCCACATAAAACCATGTAGCTCATGCATGAACTATATCAATGAGGCTCCTGAAGCCTAATTTAATTGTCCATTATCTATTATGCACCAGGCAGTCATAAATTAAACTGGTATTAGGTGACCTCTGCTTTAAGTTAGAATAGCAGAGTCTACACTTTAGGCAAAAAGGAATGGATAGAGTTATATATCCACATATTACTGAATTTGACACCTTAAGATGACAGCTCCACTTTAGTTCTTGTAACTATGTAGAACCTTGGTGTCTACTTATATTCCATATCAAATACCTTTTTTTTTGTATGTGAAAAGTATAAGTCAGCTTCATCTAACTAAAAGAATTTGCACAAATGCTCCAAATCTGCTCCATATGATTAATGAGATAAGAGAACTGTGATAAAAAGGTTTTAAAGATTCAATAGCTTCAAGCAGAGTTCTTATATCGTAAGTATGTTTATTCTGAAATCCTGCTGGCCTCACTAAAGTTAGAAGGTGCAAAGGTGCATAGTTTTGTGAAAGGATTTATAAGGTTGACTACTTAAAGAAACCCTGTACCCAACAGTTTCAACCTGATTGGATGTGTCATTTAAGTGATGCTGTGCCAAGATCCCACACATGCGAAGTTCAATCCTGGCTGGATGTGCATTCCCACACACAGCCTCAGTGCTGTCAATACAGATAGTGTGAGGCTTTGCTGGGAGCAGACAGAGAGAACAGTGAAGTAGCAGGTGGGGTGTGTGAGCAGTGTGGAGTCTTAGATATTGGACAGTGCATCTGAAAATGGTAATTGAGACAACATTTTGAAAACATAAAAGGTAGGTTTGGTAAGTATATTTTTGTCACTGCTGTAGTCAGATTAAAATGTACTATGTGGAGGGTCTCTGTTTCAGAAATATACAGGGGTTACCGCTGGCCTCCTACTAAAAAGATTAGTTGCCTGGCTTTTTCTGGTTCAATACTTCCTTTGTCACTGACCCAGAAAAAGCATGAAGAAGAATAGAAAACAGTCAGAACTTCAGAACTATTAGGCTAATAGATCAGCAAGAGAGCCAAGCAACTAATCTGGGACAAGAATTCAGAAATAGCAGCCTCTGTATTCTCTTAGCATGAATTTATTTTATGAATAAAAGTTATCAACCAAAAGAGTTCTTGAAGAGGTTCACTATAGTTGGAATCAACTTTAAAGTATATAGCGAAAAATGTTTGAAAGCACACAGTGTTTCTGTGCTGCCACAACAGCCTGTTATTTCTTAATTCTTTTATGTATCTTGGTTTGTTCCTGTGTACTCCCCTTTGTTCTATTATTAGTTAGCACAGCCCCCAGTTGCCGCTCATAGACCCACCCTGCTAATGGTCAAACATTGTTGTAAATCACACTAAATCCTACATCTGAGTCTTTTTGGTAAGTTAAACTGCCAGCAAGTTTCCATACTTCCATAGATATTGGGTCTTAGGAGGTATATCTTTTGCGCAAAGCAATATTTGAGACAGAACACTTTCATAAAAAAAAATATTAAACAAAACTGTGATTTCATAGGACCATGTCAGTTTAGCCTACAAAATACATTTCCCCAGTGAGTTTAGGTGACTAAGATTTCTGATTTTCTTATCACTTCTGTAAGGTCTTCTTACCTTTATACCTTGTCCTAGGTTTTCCAGTGAAGTGATGTCCAGTCCTTCTCTGCAGGCCTGCCAGCAGGAAATAATGTTTTGGCTATCTATTTTGCCAGGACGTAGGGTAAGTCCAGCTATGCTCCCATGAAAATACTGGGCAAATTTGGGTTTGGTGATTTCCCCTCCTGCAAATGAAGAAAAAGGATCTGAAGAACATGTTTGTTGTCAAGAGCATAGAACTTAATCCATCAAGTAATACTAGTATGTCATTGGGAGAGCACAATTCAATTTTTGAGGCTTTTCAATAGAGGCTCAGGATAAGTTAGACATTTTGACTGTTCTGCAAATTCTGCTGGTATATATTGTTGTTAATACTAAGCTTAAATTGGTCATGAGCACTACAGATGTAATGTTTTACTGTCTTAACTCAATAGTATCTTCATGGTTGTTTGGGGAACCCTGTACAAATGGGTTATTCAATAAAGCTGTGCATCAATCCATAACAAGCAGTTTGAAATCTCATAAAACACCTGTTGGAGACGTTTCTTATGGTAATAGCCATTACCTGATATACTTCATCCTAGCTTTGGCTTGTGTATTTAAAACTACTGTATTTAGTGAGTCACTGCCATGGCATTAGTATGTAGTCTGTGAATGGGTACTATTGGCACAGGTGTTTTTTCTTATGACAGCGACTTTGATTTAATACGCTGCTATACACCTAATGCATTGTAAAGGTGCCCTATCAAGCCGTATTTAAAGAGTAATTCCACACAAAATGTTTTGTTAGCATTGGATAGAGTGGGAAATGGTTGAAGTTCTGTCTCTGTCAATGGAACATTTCTCCTCAATACTGCGGAAGTGACAACATTGTTATTGGGACAGGAAGTAAAGGGAAAAATCTCTAGCACTGACATAACAGGAACAATGTTATTTCTAGTAGAATTGGGAAAGGCTTATCACACCTTTTATGTGGCCAAAGACAGCAATAAAAACCTGCCAAAGATTTTCCTCTTAAAAAAACTTAATAGAGAATAAATAAAGGCTGGTGTTACTTGAGATAACATTGCTTGAAAATTACTTAATTGTGCTTTTAAGATTAGAGGGAACCATCTTCCCACTTTTATTCACCTTTGCCAAGCTCCCCCACTACTCCATTTATTTGTTGGAATGCAAATAAATATCTTGTATTTCCTTGTGTGGGCAAGCATGTGATATCCTTCTCTTCTATCTAGGATGCTGTGGTGAGCAGCTGATCATCAGACATGAACACTGTCACACTGA